GTACCCTAAAGTAATGGTCTGGACAACATGATGTGATGGTAATAGGAAATAAAGAGACGATGTGGTCCAATTTTATTATGCTGATTTCCTTTTCAATAAATATTAATTAATACTACAAATTTAAATTTGAAGAAAACCCCTTTTCGCTTAACCCCATGGGGACGGGTGATTCAGAAAAGCATTCATACAAAATCAGAATCAAGTTCTAACTAAATAAAAAAACGGTAACTTAAATGTAGTCGTTGCTAATTTGACAGACTTACCTTGCTTTTACTCTAATTATTGTTAGTTTAATCATATATATAATCAATGTTAATTCAAAGTATAACTAAATAGTTTTATTTTGAACAAAGTAATGGTGAATTAAATAAATCAAAAAATTATAACTCCGCCCACAAATAAACTGCTAAAGAATTACTTTGATTACCAGTTTTATCTTTGTACCCTGATTGATACGGTTTTATGCTGGCACGTATTTGTGACAGTCGGCGCGAAAGGGTTAAAGCTTTCTTTCCAAGTTAACAAAAACTACTTAGCAAGTTAAAGTCTTATAAAATCAAAGATAATAAACATAGATATTTCTTAACTCAACTATATACAAACATGACATTTTCACAATTAAATTCCATTTTTGTATTATTTCATAACTAAAACATAGTGGCAGTGACTGAATATATTTTTCCTATATTGAATACTAACTAAAATATTTTTGCTATATTGAAGTTTTCTTGTTTTTTTTATCATCATATTGCCTTCTACTAAGAATGTTAATTAATGCACATGTGTTTCAGTGCCACTTACATGCTTCAGATCTGGAGGCTTTGCTTTGAATATTTAAATATATGTTGACTTCAATCCACACTACAATATAATCGGGTAAAATAATGTAACCATTTCATCTTTTCGGCACTCAGTTCTTGCTGATTGGCTAACGCTTTTCATTAATGTATCGTCGCTAACGTCTCTACTTTAATTTTCTTTTTTGTAGTTTCCATCGCAACTTTCCATCAAAAGAGTTGAGCATCTTTTCCCAACTTCAAGAGGTGTTTTCGTTATCAAAATTCTTTCGATTGCCCATATCTATGTTCGTCTCCAGTGACTCTAAAATATTACTGCATTCAGGTTTTCAAATATTATTCGTTGACTTTCCGAACACCCGTCGAACAAACTTTGCCATCCTCCTCATGACGTCCGATGCTTAACCATGTAACATATTTATTTACACTACTAACTGCAACCATTCATCAGTTTCTAAACAATCGTTTAGCAAGATGGCATATATGTAATTGTTAGGTAGTCTGAGATGTTTTTTAGCTTCCAGATTCCGGCATTCATTTTTTATTGAAATTAATTTATACAGCTCAAAAAGTTTTTTTTTGAATAAGAATAAAAATTAAATGACATGCTTACCAGCATCAACTTTTCTTCTTCAGAATCAGATATTTATCTTTTAAATCAAGATACATCAAATGTGATATATTAAAATATGTAATAAGCTTAACATCTCCTCAAAATTGTAAAGCAAAAATTGTATGATCATTGTAAATCAATCAATAAAAGCATTTATTTTTTATTCTTTTTTGCTGCTTAACAATTTAATGTTTTCTCCTGTAACTTCATATGGGAGAGTTACACAGATTTTGCCTATCAGCCTAAATGTGCAGAGAAATGTTGAATGATAAATAACATTACTCCATTTGTCTAATTAGCTAGCAACTCCCCTCTCCCCAATATAATGTTGCTCATTGTAATTCTGAACTAATTAACATGCATTGAGAGAACTCTTCTTAAATAGAAGAGCGTTCTGCTTTCTTGTACATGTTGTAATTACTTTGGCCAATATATTCTAAACTAATGACTTTTTTTTATTACAGAATATCGATCTAAGCTATAACTTATTGACAACAATACCTGAAGATCTCTTCAACAATTCGGAAAATTTGACTAGTGTTAATCTGAAAAGAAATCAAATAAAGAATGTAACAAAATGCTTTTCTGGAAATAATCGTTTGGAACATATCGATTTAAGTAACAACTTAATCGGATTTTGCGATTATGCATTTCAATCTCTGCTATCGTTGAAGACTATTAATTTAGAAGATAACCGTGTTAGAAAAATAACGAAAAATTGTTTTTCGTCGACTCCATCGCTGGAAGAATTGATACTAAGGCAGAATAATATTTCCCAAATCGATTCGGAAGCATTTTCTCAGCTAGACCAGCTACAAAATATTGATGTGTCTCGTAATAGACTAAAAACATTGTCAAGAGAATCATTTCCTGTTGTTTTAAAGATTCGAGAATTATTTACATCTGGTAAGTGCTTTTAATCTTTAACAATTTGAATCAGAATTTTAGAAAATAAACACAAAACACACAAAATTTTATATTTCGTCTATTCCATTGCTTGAAGAATTGATAATCAATCAAAACAATTCCGCAAATCAATTCAGAAGCGTTTTCTCAGCTAGACCGGTTCTGGTTACAAAATATTGATTTGTCTCTAAAAAAACTAAAAACTTTGTCAAGAGAATTATTTTAAATTAGAGAATCATCACTTCTCTTTCAATTAGTATCGCAAAATTCGAAAAGAAATTTCTCAACAGCAACGAGTCTAAGTTTGGTCATCCAATGTTAATATTTAATTCATAATTATATTTCCACGTCGTGACTTACATTCAATTCTAAAATGTATTGATGGATATGTGTATATATAAGTTAATGTACTATAATGTTTAGAGAGAGTGTGTGTGAGTGTTCTAGCAGTTCAATATTTATAATAAATGAAATCGGCATTATCGAATCATAAACTATACTCTTCCAATTTTGAAAATTTAAGTTATTTACATTCTTTTTATCTTATAGGAAATTATTGGGTGTGTGATTGTCGCCTTTTGTGGATCAGAGATTGGATGATGGATAACACAGCATTCAATGCATCAAATTTTGACTTTGCTTGTTCTTTG